CGCTCGGAGCACGAAAGCTGCAGTTATATATGTACTACAGAAAAATAAAACACAAGAGATCGAGGGTCGTTTCTCGATCATTGTTTAACTGCGCACTACGTATAGGTACACGTAATTATCAATAGTCTCAAGACGTTTACCCCGAGAGGCGAATAATTCAATCGAACAACTCCGACTCGCCGATGCTGCCTGTGTTTACATCCGAGATTTTTGTTTATTTAGCCGCGCAGCATTAAAAAAGGCGCTTCCCGACCACCATATATAACACGGGTGAATTCAAAGAATATAACATAGACGAGGTGTGCGTATATATACGTTGCGAGAGAGAGAGAAACGCGCGACGACACTATATATATTTCTCGGAAATTATGCAAGCTCCTTTTAATGAGGCGAGATTCTTCGCAAACAACTTAGAGCCCTACCGAGATTCAGCTAGCTAGCTATACTATAGCTGGTAAGCAACAGGGACAGTATAGTACAAGGATGGCATATACACACGCGCGGCGCTTTTTCTCGCCTACGCATTTGATGTTGCTGCTAAGCGGCTGCCTGCCTGCCTGCCTATTGTCTCTTCTGCATGTGCGAGTATTCGCATGGGCGCTCTTATTACCTGTACACCTATATATATATTCCGCGCGTGGCAACGCACACACACACACACGACTTTAAATGCCCCATTCACGTCGATTAACTCGTCAACGCTATGTAACGAGGCGCGCGTTGTACACTAGCGGGAGCTACGTATATAGGTTGCGTTTTGAGAATATTTATTTTATCGTTATACACGCGTGTACGCAAGTGTGCTGCATCTTTTCACCGTTTTCACGAAAACGTATTTGCGACTGCGTATTAAAAGAGGATCGCCATTAGAGGATAAGGCAAGAAGAAAAATCGGTATTCATAGGAATGCGATTCGACCGACTTAATCGATTTCCAACTCGATACTCCGTTTTAACCGGATCGCTTTTATTTAAACCCAATGCTGTGCTCGCGGAAGAGTAGCAGCAGCAACAACCGAAAGTGTATGTGTGTTTACGCTCGTCGCGCATCGACTGCGTCCGCATATTTATAAAGAGATACGTACACGTAGTTACAGGGTGCTGCTACCGCTACCGCACGCGATGATCGTGTGCGGCTTTTTAAGCTCGTTATAAAAGTAAAAATTGGAAGAAGGAAGGAAAAAAAGGCAACAACAACAACAGGAGAAACGACTCTGTGCGCGCAGTGGAAACGTTTTCGAATGTGTGCGATGCGTGTAAAAATTTGTTCGCTCACAATCACTGCATGTATTACAATAATATATAGGATAGAGGAAAAATAACGAGGCTCGCCTTATCGCGCCGCTTCGTTTTAAAGCGGAAAAGCGCGAAAACGTCGTGTGTGTGTGTGTGTATTATATACATCTGTGTGTATGTGATACACATTTTCGCTGCCGTATATAGTTTCAATTTCACTTTTTTACGCCACTTCGCGAGAGAGGCTTAATGCATGGCCTGTTTCGCATGTGCACTATAAACAGCACACACACACACACACACACAACTTCAGCACGTACTTGCGTACGCGAGTCACTGCTTAGCACATATAATAATGCAGTGCTATAGCGCAAACGGCCTACAGAGGAGAACTCAACCTATTCAATGGCGCTCCGTATGAGTACTTTTTTTTTCTCTCTCTCTATCTCTCTCGCTATTCAACATTTCACGCTCTACATTTGATCTTTTTTCAGCTGAAATCTCGATTCCTATTTTTTTATAAGAACCAGATTTTCTTTTATCGTATATAATGTTTCAATCGACGATCGCGAAACCTGTAAATTTTGGATTCGATGATGCAAAACTCCCGAGATCGAACTCGATCGAAATGCCTATTTTCACTCGCGCGGCTCAACGTCGATATTACACCTGCGATTCGACGTAATTAAAGAACATTTTTCGAAATCAATCACTCATCGCCTAGTAGACGGTAGACACCAACTATATAGTGCCATTGTTCATCTCTCACCCATTACACGGATAACTCATATACATAAGCTCACGAAGAGAGCTCGGCAACAATATTCAATTACGGCATCGACGAGCTTCGGAGTGTGTCGATATTCGCGCGGGCTCTATATATATGTATTCCGAGCGTCGAGAGTGTTTTGAATTTATGCCCGATTATGCGCATCAAAGTCAATTGCAAAATCACTCGGCGCGGCGGAGCATCGATATATACATACATATAAATATCTCGCGCGAAAAACACTTAAACCAAAGGCGCGGGAGAGTCATTATGAGTATCGAGTCGAGAGTCGTTGTCGGTGCACACCTCGCGCCGCTGTGATCCGCTGCACGTTCGAATTTTCAAACGGGTGGATGAGGCAGGAGGAGGAGGAGGCAACGAAATCACGCGGACGCGCAATAATATTAGAAATAGAAAGCCCCGATAGATTGCACTCGTGCACCGTCGGGAGAATTATGGTAACGCGGTGAACGAAGAGCAAGAGGATCTCGTTCGTATTTAAAAAGAAGAGAAAAAAAGGATTACATGTATGGGGGATCGTGTTTCGATTCGTGTATCATATACAGGCGAACGACGTCTATTACACACGGCTGCGGCGGCGGCACGCGTTGCACCTAAAAACGTTTATATATATATATCTGCACACTCGAGCGAAACGGTTAAAACGAAGAGTTTGAACAAAAAAAAAAAAAAAAGGCCGTTCGATACGAGGCGCAGGGTGTTCTCTATATACTATATCGTGTAATATGCGCGATATCGATCCTTTACGATCCGACGTATTGCCCGTGTAAGTAATGTTATTACGTTATGTACGAATGTTATTACGGGCGAGAGAAATCTTTTTTGCGCGGCACACATTCGTTACCGACTACTCTCGCTTCTCGTCTGTGTGCGCGATCGTGTGTCGTAGCGCACAGGCGGGACTGATCTTCTTCTCTTCGACTCTCGTCTTCGTTTACTTTTTTTATTTTTTTATTTTTTTGCTTTTTTTTCGCAACCAGAAATTATACCGGTGGCTAATTTACGAGCGTTTTGTATATTAATTGATTCGTTTTCGGAGCTTCCGTTCCGAGCAGATCGATAATAAGAAAAGAGCAAAATAAAACAGAAAACGAACTCTTCTCTTCTTGCGATCGTATTTAATCCGCGAAGAGTAGCGTCGAAGGAGAAGGAATGATTAGAGCTCGAAATGAACGAAAAAAAAAAGAACACATGCACTCGCACATACACAGTCGCACGCATTAGAGACACCGACACCGCAAATTTACCCATTAAAGCACTATAAAAGAGCGATGAACTTGTAGAGAAATTACCTTCTCACAGCACTGTCACACACGCGTTATCATCAGCAGCGGTCGTACTTGTGTGGTATAGTAATAGTAGTAGTAGGCAACGACAACACACAGCGGCACACGGGCGCTAATGGGTTATTTTTTTCTTCCTTCTTAGTCGCTGCTGCTGCTTGCAACTCTCGTTACAAAAATACCATCCGCTCGTCGTCGTTCCGTTGCGACTTGCCGATTGTCGAACTTTTTTTTTCAAATTCAACGTCGTTGCGAATCGATTTGAAATTTCGCCGAGATTCTTTTGTCGTTGTTGTTTTTTTTTTCTATGTTTCACAATTGCCACTTGATTTTAAATATATTTGTCGTTGTTGTCACTGATTACATTACAACGAATACGTTTGATAGAGTCGTCGAACACTTTTATTCAAAACTAAATGAAATTGCCACGTAACGATAAATAACAATCACTGACGGGTTTAATAAAGTATAACCGTTGTTGAAAAAAACTTGTGCACTCGATACTAGAGAATTATCGTCGAAGACTCGATCGTCGTCGTCGTCGTCGCGAAAATTGATCAAAAACCAAAAAAAAAACAAAAAACACCACACAGAGAAAAGAACAGGAAAAGCACTACAGAGACGACGAAGAGAGAGAGAGATGTTAATCTTCGAACGATATTACAACAATATATCGTGTATCGCACAACAGGTATATATCTCGTAACGAACGAATATATATATACGCCAAGTCACACACGAGCGGCAGGTATATACAACACCGCACTGAGCTCGCGATGAAAGTATATTTTTGCACACACACTTCTATACACGGGTATATACGACCGAGAGAGAGAGCGATATTATTACTAAATATATTTATATATATATGTAATGTAGTCGATCGCGCGCGGCGGCCGTACTAGAGGCAACTAACGGACGCGCGCGCGAATCGAACGACGAGAGGTAGTAGGTAGCAGCAGCGCCGAACGACTTGCGGCTGCTCTCGCGAATTCGCGGCGGCGGCGGCGGTGGTGAGGCGGCCGGTGGGGTGGGGGCAGCAGCAGCTCTCTATACTACTACTATATACACTCGCGGCGCACGATGCAGTCGCAGGCTCGCTCTTTCTCTATCTTATACTCGTCGTATATATATAAGGATAGACTTTTCTGCGAGCGCGACGTCCATCTCGCTCGTTCGCTCTCTCTCTCTCGCACTTGTAAAGTCGCGAGCACACACACACACACACATACATAGACACAGGTTTACTCTTTCGCCTCCTCTGCACTGTATAAGGTAAATGTGCCAATGGCTGGCCACTTAAGCAGCTTAGCTGAAAAGAGATGCATAGAAATGAAATAAATGAGTTATTTTGATTGTAAAATACTATTGGATTCTTGAGAACTAATGATTTTGGACACGAGGGACTATAAATAACTCATCATAAGCCATTAAACAATTAATACTGCTGAATTGATCAAATATTCACTTCATGCCAATGACTGGCCAATGTAATTTTTCGATGTACCAATGTCTGAAATCCCATGTCCCAATGCCTGGCCACCTATTATTTTAAGTAGTTGAAAAACACAATGATGCCTATTTAATGGTTTATATTTATGATTAATTCATTATTCTTGAAATTAATGAATGCATTAGATGAGAATAAGTATAATTGCATGGTTTGGAAAATAAAAATGAATAAATACTTAATTAAGATCAACTTTTTTTATTCTTTTTTCACAAATTCTGTACAGCAATAATTACGCAGTAATGACGAGACAAATGACAAAGATAAGTTATCTTATAAAATATGATTCACTCTAACATTATTAAATAATATTAAAATTTAAGTCATAAAATTCTATAACAAAAATAACACTTTTTTTATGAACTTAAGTTAACATTAGCAGGAACATTTTAAAATCATATTTATGACATGACATAAATAAACACCTATGAAATAAACAGCTTATAAATTATCAATGTTTTCTTTTTTAACCCTTTTGGCAGTCAAGTTTTTTTTCTCATTTTGTAATTGTTTAATTTTTTCATCAATTAAAATCCTTTTCATTTTTTTCTCTTCTGTCACTCTCTTACGCTCTTGAGTTGCTTTTTGGGCATCTTCTTTTTCTTCTATTACTCTTATTTTTTGTGCCTTGAACTCTTCAGACGACAGAATCGGTGTAAGTTTCGCTTTACCCTTCTTTTGTGGTTTAGTCATGTCTGGTGGATAATAGAAAGTCTCCTTCATGACACCGTCGAAATCAAGCTCGATGGTTGATTGATAAAACTCTGTAAAATTTCAAATTATGATGATACATTTATATATATATATATATATATATTATACGATTAAAAAAATAATTTACCTTTACATTTAGCCACATTATTATTAGTTATGTCACTCAAGACATTTTTTTTAATTATGGTCAAATCCAGGGCATTTTGATTACAAATAAGTTGATGAGCGACAGGTACATCAATGGTTGGTTCGTCAATTATAGGTAAATTTTGGAGCGTTACATTGATGACTGGTTTTTTGATGATGGCTACTGGGGTAAGGCAATCTACTTCTTTGTCACAATAAATGTCTGCACAGCTCGACTCCATTAATTCCAAAGTTAAGCCTATAATAGAAAATTTGGTTTGTAAAATCAATTAGTCAGTATTGACAATATCTACAAAAATAATATTTACCATTCTCACAGTATGAAGAAAATTCCGACTCAGTTATTGGGAAACTGTAGCTATCAGATGTTGGTTCGAAGATTGAAGAATCAATCACTTCTATCACAACTTCTGAGCTATCAACCTTGCCTACATCTTCACTTTTATTCACTTCGCACTCTTCTGTCGTTGCTGAAATTTCAATTTCTCCTAGGAAATACGAACCAAATACACATTGAATATACAGAACTATACATAATACTACAATATTCAAATCTGTGAAAAAATGTTTACAAAAAAAAAAAAAAATTAAAATAAAACTTTCGAAAGATAAAAATTAATTTGCACCACTTGATTTTAACTTCTTCCAATACTGATAGAGTCCTTCATTCTCTGAATTAGTAATCTTGAGGGAGCTATTCGAAAAAACCATTTGAAATTCTGTCAAAGTTTCTTGATCCAAGTTTTTTTCAAAAAAGTGTAATTGTTCTGAAGTTTCTTCTCTCGCTCTCTCTTCTTGTTGTTGCTGCTGCTGTTCTTGTTGTTTTAGTGAAATAAACTTTTTTTTAGGATTTTTTGTTAGTCCGTAGTCAATTGCATCTGGATTTAATGGTGTTAGCCCACAAGTTGTGAATCCGTTTTCGATAATCTTTGGCAAATTTCCCATGCCATCAATAGCTTGTTTCAGAAGAGGAGCAAAATGCTCTCTTCTTATTCCTGGATTGTTTGTTCGTAATCTGTAATCATCTATCGTATTCTTCCATGCACTTTTCATAGGCCTAAACACTGCAACATCTAGTGGTTGCAGTATATGAGTTGCATTCGGGTACAGAGCTATGAGGACTATTTGTTTTTCGTTGCAAAATACTGACAGAGGCAATGATAGGTGAGACGAATGTCCATCAACAAAAAGTATGACAGGAAACTCTATATGGTTAGTCTTCAACCAAGGATAAAATTTATTAGTAATATAATCAAAAAACTTGTCAGAAGTCATCCAGCCTTTTTCAGTGTTGCCAAGTAACCATCCAGAAGGTAAACTTTTTGTTATAAGAGCTGGTGTACGTTCGTACCAAAACAATAGCATTGGTGGTAGCATGACCCCTGCACCACTCACATTAAACAGTACAGTTATTGACTCCTTTTCACCATTAACAATTTTATAAACAGTTTTAGATCCTCTGCGTGCTAATACTTTATCTCCTTTTGGTGAAAGAAGAAATGCTGACTCATCTAGATTGAAAATTCTTGATTTATCAATATCTAGTAATGAATGGTTGTTTAAATATGTTTTTACTTGTTTAAACCAATTACGTATCACCTCTTCAGTGGCTGATACTCTACCTATTGTTAAGTTTTGGGCAACCCTGAGAGCAACTTTATCATGACGTTTACGGAACAATTTCCACCAACTTTCACCAGGCTTACCGTCTTTAAAAGGCACATTTCTTTTCAATTTTATAATAAGCTTCTGGACACACTTCAGTAGTACACATTTAGTGATGGGAAATCCTCTATCGCTACACTGGAACACCCAATCAACTATTTTCTGTTCTTCTTCATCTGACAAATAAGGAGAGCGACCCATTGAAGCTTCTACTGGAATAATAAAATTCTGTTTTGCATATAAAGTGCTTCGTGGAATGTTGTATATTTGCTCAGCCCGTCTTGTTGTCATGCCATTGTCAATGCTGTCGAGAGCTTTGTATACAGCGTCTTGCGTATACTTTTTTACTTTTGGTGCTGAGGGTATGGATCGTAGTTCCTTCGTGGTCTTTCTCAAGCCTTTTCTCTCATCTTTCTTTTTTGATTCTTCTTTTCCTTTAATGACCTTCATCACACTGCACAGAAATAGAAAATAATATAAATAGCTGAAGTTGAGCTGATAAAAATTTAAGGTTATGCCGGTACTTTTTTGTACTATATCATAAATAATCGACATTGAACCGTAATTATAAGTTTTTACGAATAATATATGTTTGAAGTAATATGAATTTGTGTACTTACACGGATCTTTAATTCAGAAATGTTAATTTACATATAATTAACTGGCTCTCGGCAACTTCAGTTTTACACGTGGTCAGTGAGTAGCACAGAAAAAAAGTGTGTACCATGACATGGCCACCGTCATATTTGACTGGTCAGACATACAAGCATAAAAACGCAAGCGAATTTTACCGGTATCAATGAATGACCATTCGAAATTTTAGTGTAAAATTAATATTTTCAGAATTAAATTGATGTGTAATACTTAAAAAATGTGTTCAAGATTATATAATAACTTTGACACGTTGATTTTAATGTTTTTATAACTTAATATCGCCTTAACAAAAACTGCTCATTTCTTAAGATTCAACGTAAGCGAAGCATAGGCAGATGGCATGTGGTTCGAGTCGAGTAATCATAATTGATTTTTAAGCTAAATAAGTCGCTGATTATTAATATTTATAGGTACATCAATAGCTATCATTAAAATCATTTAACTTGCTGAGTTTCATGGGTGTAAAGTATAAAATTACGTAAATAATCGTAAAAAATCATATGAGTGGCCAGGCATTGGTCAGTGGTCAGCCATTGGTACTTTTACCTTATATATACGAAGGCAGCATTAGCGCGCGGAGAAAAAGAAAGAGAAAGATTCGCGGCGTGCATAGCGGAACTCCTATATGTATATCTCTCTCTCTCTACGCGTAAAACGCGTTCGCCACTGCGAAAATGTAGTACTTTGACTGCTGTGTCTGCGTGAGATATGCCGGATTATAATGCTTTGTGTGCGTGTGGGTATGTCTCTTTTCCGACTGCTGCTGCTGTTTTTCATTTTAATAAAAATAATGATTAGCTGGTTTTTTGCAAATTGCATCGAACGCACGATATTGAATGATAGATTTACAGATTGGAGTTGGAATGATTATAATTATGTACGGGCAGAGTGACAATTGCTTTTCGTCCGGTTGCGAGCTGTATTACAATAGCAGAGTTAGCGCCTTATGTACACAAGTAAGGTGATTAAATCCGTTAGATTTTATAATTTCAGGCACATTCGACAAAGTTAAGTTGTTTGATCGATTTTTCGTCATCCATCTTTTTTATTTTACTTCCGCTCGTTGCTCTATCATTCGAAAACGTAAACGGCATTTTTTGGTCACCAGCCTCACCGATGAATCAAAAAAATAAATGTCGATGTAAAAAATTATACATCGTTGTTACACGCAAAAAAAAGCAACGAAGCGGCTCAAAAAATCGAATGAAAAATCCTCGATGAACGCGGTAAATATCTCTCGTGCGTAGGCGCGATTTGACGCTCGATAATTTAAATATAACATATCACGCGAATTAAATTTTCGAATTCGTATCGATCGATACAACGTCGAACTTCTGCGGTCGTGCACACTTCAGCGGATGTTTCGAAACGAAGTATATAAAAAAAAAGAATTAATGAATTAAAAAGAAAAAAAAAGAATAACGAAAAAGCAGGAGGTGCTGTCGCTGGTGCCTCGTATATAATAACGTTTCTTCGTCAGTGGCGTGACCGCATCATCGTGCGATCGTTCAACTGCTTATAAATAACGTATATATCTATATACAATACAGAGTAACCTCGTTGTAACGAGGTCCTTTTAATTTAAGTGCCGAGGCGCGCGCGTAAAGCGAGAGTCATTACCCAAAGCTCGTCCGGGATATATATAATTGTTCTCGTAGCGTATATATACGCACGATGCGAGGTTCAACGCGACGATCGGCGGTTCGACATATTGGAACGAGACACGCGTGCGGAAGGAAGAGTGTGAGATAGTCGAAGGTTTCACTTTCATTGGGCCGTAAAAATGTTTACTCTCGATCGGAGCTCGCGCGAGGTAAAAACGAAGAATCAGCTGCACGCGGATCGCACGCCGAAGAGCGTATCGATACGAGACTTGTGTTTATCGTACAGAAACGCAATGCGATGCGATGAAAATTCTTATATTATAGTAAAGTCGCGGACAGTTACTTCTTTTAACTCGACTCGAAATCCCGATTCTTGAATTCCTTGATGTAAGAGACAAAAATCTCAGCGATCCTTGTTGTTAAGAAAACATGTCCGATAGAAAATCATTAAATAATCCATCAAAATATCATAAATTGGTATAATTGACCATTTGAATCTTGTCTTATACTTTACTGCAAGTTTGGTGCAAGAACCTCCACCTTATAAAGCCCTCAATGAAGATTTTTCATGTTTTGATCGAGTTTTCAATTATTAATTATAATCATGATTCAATCTATGAAACGAAGTAATGATATTCGTACAAACCTGTTTGTAGCTATTGTATAAGGGAAACTGATCTACTCTCGTACATTTAAGAAACTTGCGACTGTCATAAAAAATTACTCGCTTGAAGGTCTATTGAATCGACATTATAACTAGAAGTCATTTTAAAGTACTTAGTTTTAATAAACCACGAAAATTCGTCAAACTGGTTCAAATTTGGAAGACAATGTATAAACAGATAAATCAGTAACTTATTAGTAAACAATATCATCATTGATGATTTTGATATTGTCTCTCGAAGATCATGTTTGTAGTAAAAACAAATTAGTTTGAAATTATCTTTAGCGACACAACAAGCTATTATAGATAAATTTTACTCATTCGCGATCTGTGATAGAAGGATCCATCATTTATTTTAAGTACTAAAATGGATAAAAGAAATCAAAAGAAGGAGAAAAAGGAGAAGAAATCAAAAGAAATGATCTCCAATGATGATTCAAGTGAACTAGACATTGTTGTTTCAAACGACAAAAAATACGTTTGTGATATTTGTCAGAAGATGTTTACACTAGAATCAAGCATGATAACACATCGAGACACAATTCACGATCAACAGATAGGTTACCCATGTAAACAGTGTAAAAAGAAATTTGTGAAAAGATCGATTTTGTTCATGCACCAACAATCAGCACACAAAAATCGCGTAGATTACTCATGCAACAAGTGCGAGAAAAAATTTGAAAATAAATTAACTTTATTTAAGCACAAAAAAATATTCCACGAAGTTTTCAGAGATTACTTATGTGAAAAGTGCGCCAAGAAATGTGATACTAAACATAGTTTGCTCATGCACATAAAGACAGTACACAAAAGTCAAAATGATTTCACTTACAAAGTCAACAAAGATTACTTATGTGACCATTGCGGGAAGAAGTTTAGAAATAAATCACATTTGCTCTTGCACATGACAACAGTCCATGAGGGTCACAAAGATTACGCATCCGACAATTGTGAGAAAAAATTTGGAGTTAAATCGGATTTGTTCAGGCACCAAAGAACAGTTCATGAAGGTCTTGAAGATTTCGCATGTGACAAGTGCGAGAAGAAATTTAGTCGAAAATCGTCTTTGCTCGACCACCAAAGGACAGTACACGATGGTCGCAAAGATTACGCATGCGACAATTGCGGGAAGAAATTTGGAAGTAAAAGTTCTTGGCTCTTGCACACAAAAACAGTCCACGAAGGTCATAAAGATCACGTATGCGACCGGTGTGACAAGAAATTTGGAACTAAACATCATTTGCTCGTCCACCAAAAGACCATCCATGAAGGTCGCAAAGATTTTGAATGTGACAAGTGCGAAACGAAATTTGGACAAAAAGTGGAATTGCGCCGACATCAAGAAATAGTCCACGAGGGTCACAAAGATTACGCATCCGACAATTGTGAGAAAAAATTTGGAGTTAAATCGGATTTGTTCAGGCACCAAAGAACAGTTCATGAAGGTCTTGAAGATTTCGCATGTGACAAGTGCGAGAAGAAATTTAGTCGAAAATCGTCTTTGCTCGCCCACCAAAGGACAGTACACGATGGTCGCAAAGATTATGCGTGCGATAAATGTGAGATGAAATTTGGGGCTAAAAAAAATTTGAAAAGACATCAACAAATAGTTCACGAAGGTCGCAAAGACTACGCATGTGACCAATGCGAAAAGAAATTTGGACATAAACATCATTTGCTCGTCCACCAAAAGACCATCCATGAAGGTCGCAAAGATTTTGAATGTGACAAGTGCGAAACGAAATTTGGACAAAAAGTGGAATTGATCAGGCACCAAAAGACGGTGCACGAAAATTGTAAGGATTACGCGTGCGACAAGTGTGAGAAGAAATTTGGACAGAAAGTGAATTTGCTTGTCCACCAAAAGACAATCCACGAAGGTCGCAAAGATTTTAAATGTGACAAATGCGAGAAAAAATTTGGACAAAAAGGGCATTTGCTCCAACACCAAAAAACAGTCCATGAAGGTCTTAAAGGTTACACGTGCGATAAGTGCGAGCAAAAATTTGGACAAATATCCCATTTGCTCAGACACCAAAGAACCCGTCACGAAGGTCGTAAAGATTTCGGATGTGATAAGTGCGAGAAGAGATTCGGACAAAAATGGGATTTGATCAGGCACCAAAAAACAGTCCACGAAGGTCGTAAAGATTATGCATGTGACAAGTGCGAAAGGAAATTCGGACAAATATCGAATTTGATTAAACACCAAAAGACAGTCCATGAAAGTTGTAAGACTTACTCCTGTGACAAATGCGAGAAAAAATTTATGGAAAAAAAGGGTTTACTTATACACATAAAGGTCATTCATGAAGGTCGCAAAGATTTTGAATGTGACAAGTGCGAAAAAAAATTTGGACGAAAACCGGTTTTGCTTGTCCACAAAAAGACGATGCACGAAAGTCGCAAAGATTACGCATGCTTCAAGTGCAAAAAGAAGTTTGCGGATCAAAGCAATTTAAGAAAGCATAAAAAAAAAGTCCACGAAGGTAGAAAAGATTAGGCATGCGACAGGTGTGGGGAGAAATCTGGGGATCAAAGCAATTTTATAAGACACCGAAAACCACACGAAGGTCAGAAAAATTATGCATGCGAGAATGGTAAAAGGAAAGAAAAGAAATTTTTTGGAAAGTAGACGAAATTTATTCAGGCACCAAAGGACAGTTCATGAAGGTCAAAAAGATTACGAATGTGACAATTATTAGAAAAAATTGGCGAAAAAATCAAGTTCGGTTTTGCATCAAAAGACAGTACACGAAGGTATTAAAAATTTGGCAC